TATGTGTAAACGGTGGTTGTTTGTTCCATTTACCGTTTCTTCCACATGATTCTCTCGTCGCAATTGGATGAATGCGTGATGACGCAATCATTCGTGCCTTAAAATGCTAATACGTCAACCTTTGTGCCCTAAAATTCCCGATTATGAATGATTTCTTGCAAGAGAAAAGGTCTTTTACAATGCTGGTACGCAAAAAAACTTTAATTGCCGGGCACTTGCAATGAAAACGTGAATTAATCTTATCCCTTTTTGTAGTAAATTACTTCCTTTGACAGATGCACCGAATGGAGATGCTTCGAAAATCGGACACCGTGGTGCCCACAGATGCCATATTCTCCGTTTCTGAAGCAATTAGACTCCAACGTGATCCGGTAGCAAAAAGCCGGGAAAGGTTTCACGTCGTCGAAGTGGCTGTCCGTCACGCAGGGGACGAAAATGTGATAAAATATCGACCAGTCATTCCCCTGGCAGCCCAACTTCATGGAGTGCCCAACGCCAAAGTTATGCCAGTGGTATTTGGGATCTCGGAGCTAACTCAAAATACACAGTCGGTGCCCTCAAGGCGTTGGGGATTAAGTCTCGAGGCGATTTACGAACTATGTCGTTGGTTGCTCTCAGCGCTTTATTAAGCTCTACACTCAATTTGTGAATTACAATGGAGTCGTTTAGCCTCGCTGGCAGTATATGCTCAAAGCCAACTGCTTAGTCCCGCAGGGAAGTGTAGGGAACCCAGGGGATCCTAAAAGGCTTAGGACAGGCCTGTCCGAACAAGCACTGGAGAACCAGTTCGCTTGGACAGAAGACGAGGGGCGCTTCGGTTCGGTTGTTTCCGCAGCCGCCCGACGGAAGCCCCCGACTGCCAGTTGCTCAACTTTTCTCGCGGAGCGACAAGCATTTACTTGCTCGTTTCAAACAGATCAAATGCGACAATGTTTTAATTCGTCCAGTAATGTCAAAAATCAAATTAATTTAATTTTAATTCCAACGAGTAAGTTTTTTTCCATTTCTGTTTGAAACATATAGTTAAGGAGGAAAACGGAATATTCTGGATAAGTAGGTTCAGTTAAAGGAAACAAGCAATTTCATAGTAACAATTGTATTTTTATTGTTGTAGTTGTTTCCAATTCGTTCGATGAGGGGCACAAAATTTCTTGTCGCCATCAAACGCAAGAAATTGCGAAGTCTCTCGTCGCTCAAACATTGATTTTGTTAACTGCATAACAGAAAGCAGCTCTTACAAACATACGTGGATCCAAACATAGAAATCACTTTGGCTGCTTGCATATGCAAATTTGGAGACTCCTGTTGTGAAAAATGTACATAATACTTCAGCAAAGAGTTCGCTATTCGAAATTTATCTTTCTGTCTCGTGTGACATTTTAAGTCTATCAACTCCAATTGCAAATAGTCCTGAACAGTCTCTGCCGAAATCGAAAATGGTGCCGCAATCAATGTAAATAACTGTTCATTTTCCCTAAAAGTCTTGAATCATTTCGAAACGTTGTCTTTCAAATCTTGAATGACAATGAGATGTACCTTCTTACACAGTTTGAAGACACGAGAAGTGTGCTACGTGTCAATTCCTTCATTGCTCTTCCCAGAGGAAAAGCTTTAAGGGCATTTATTTTATCAAACAAATCTGTAATGAGACAGTTCTAGCCTTCATATATTAAGATCATTTAGATGACAGATAATATCAGCATGAAACAATAATGCAGCCACCCACTTTGAGTTGGCTAGCAGTTTACTTTCATCAGATTTCTTTAAAATCGAAAAATAATTTTATTGTCCCCTTTAATGGAAAACATCTCTTAAATCCTGTTTTTAAGACTCAACTATCTCACTGCACAATGGTACGGAATATCAGAAAATTCAGCGTATATATCTATCAATAATTCTTTGAATGGACGGTGGTTAAGTCCATGAGCACGGAGAAAATTTACAATGCGGATAACGTTTTTATCAACATTGCCATTATTCGCCGCTTTTGCACAAAGTGCCTCCTGGCGTGCAGTGCAATGCACGCCGCTAATGGGTTCTTTGCCAAACTCCAACATTTTTGTTTTTACTAATGTAACAGACCCAATGTGCACTCCGCAAATAGACGGTACACAGTCAGTTGTCACTGAACACAGCCGATTCCACGGTAATCTCACTTCTTCCAAGGCATCCTCGACGGCTCAAAAATATCGACACCCGTTGTGGTGTCCTTCTTCAGGGCGACGAGGTCAAGACGTTCTTCTGTTGCTTTCAAATTGGCGTCGACTCCGCACAAATACTGTCAGCGCCTCCGTGTCGGATATGTCTGGTGTGTCGCCTACCGCAAGAGAGAATGTCAAAAACTTTTGCGTTTGATGAGACAATTTTACATTTTAAAATTACTAAACTTCCGATCGACAAAAGATTTCCGCTGCATCAATTTAGCATTGTTTTAAAATTCCCCTTCGGAAAACTGTTTGGCTGCCTTTGCAATCCTTAGAGAAGTTATTTAGCCCGTTCGAAGACATGGTTCAACAATTTCGACCTATACCACAAACAAATCACAAAAAAATCAATTGCCAAAATATTTCGGGTACCATAATGTGTCTTATATTAAGTACGAAAAACTCCCGTGTTCAGCCAAACTGTTTACTTACCTCAATGTTTGTTGACAATGCCAATTCCTTTTTAAATTTCTTAATTTTCTCCTTGCGACTGGAATCAAGAGTGGAGTCTAATTCTTCCAAATGTTTTTGTTTGTAATGCCACTCCAGTGAATGTTTTATTCAAAACGTTGGCTACACAACCGAACACTGAATGTTTAGCATCACCATTATCTGACATAAACAAGGATGAAAGTTCCCAGTCGGGCTTAAATGTAGACCCTCCAGTTCTTCGTTGGTTCTCAGCGCTAGGCATAGCGTAATAGTCCGAATTTAGATGGATGGTCCGAATATCACGCCTATAGAACAAATCACTATCAAACAAAACGTCTACACTCGTTGCAGTCGCCTTTGCGATAAAGTGCAGCAGCTAGCCCGCAGCAGGTAGCCCGTTATCTTATCGCACGGACTGGAGGAATGCCCCCCCCCCCGGAGACTAATTTGTGGCGGCGCTGCCTGGAGCACGGGCGGAGCGAAATTGCATCGGAGCACGGTTTTGGACAGGCCTTTTTCCTAGGGATTACATAGTTACCACGTCGTTAAGTGGATAATGTATGGTATTTAATGTAGCGCATAGAAAATTGTGTAGCCAGAATTTACGATTCATGAATCCTTGTTACGGAAAATTGATTGGCGGCAAAATCTCCATCCGTCTGCCCCTCTGTCCGCGAACAGCGCTAACAGAGCCGATGCGGTGGCCGAGATCGCCCAGGCTGAAGGGCCGTAGCGATCTCGGACCGAAGGATCGTGGGTTCGAGACCCGTCTCGGGCTTGGTTGTATTGTGTTCGTCCTATCGCACCCCTATCATCATCATATCATGTCATCCTCACAATTACCATACCGTTACGAGCAATAGTGGTCGCTAATGACCTAGAAGATGACGCGACCTTAAAAATAACAACACAAAAACGCTAATGGCTACTCTTCTAATTCGCGCTAATGGCTTAGAACAAAAATAGATAAAAATGTAGTAGGCAAAATTTTCGTTGCACTCTAATAATTGTTAAAAATAATTAAACATTTATTCGGCGTCATCCAACAAGACAATTATGAATATTTAGGTTTACGTAATGAAAAGTATTCATCAGAAACAGATCATAAATTAGTCATACTCAATTTTCCAAAAATTTGAGAATTTTTGCGTAATTTCGCGTGAAACATCAGGAATTAAACAATGATTTTCTCAAAAAATTTTCTCTAAAATATTTTCTTTAATATTTATCTACGAATGAAGCAAAAAAGATAAACAAAGTGGTGACATCTCCGTTTTAGATGCAGTTTCTGTATTTTCAAAAATTGCAATGTTTTAAAAAATTGTAAATTTGAATTTTCCGTTCTTCGTTTGATGCTATCAGTTAGCAAAATGGCAACACGCTGGTTTCAAATTATTCGAAGTGGTCTGTCGCTGGGATCTTACGATATAGATAATCTGTATTCATAAAATTTGATGTTGGTGTATAGCAAAGAAGTGCATACAGTCACCATGCGACCGATCTCTATGAAAGTAGGTACATCTTCGTGTTTTTTTACCCAGAAGGTTTATGTGCTGTTAATTTTGTTATAACTTTACTAGATGACGCTGCAGAACAAAATTGAGCTTCATTTCAATACAATTTTCATTCAAACTGCGCTCCACCCGGGTTTCATTGTTCCGTTGCCGAGTGACGCAGGGCAATGCCCAGGAGAAGCGGACGGGCGCGCGATTGTGATAGCGAGAGAGGCAGAGAGAGACGGAGAGAGACGGAGAGCGACGGAGAGAGACACAGAGAGAGACAGAGGAGAGAGAGAGAGAAAGAGAGACAAACATAGAGACTGGCAAGAAGAGAAAGATACAGAGACAGTGAGCGGCAAACACAGAGGGACAAATAGAGAGAGATAGAGAGAGATAGAGAGAGAGAGATAGAGAGATAGAGAGATAGATAGAGAGATAGATAGAGAGATAGAGAGATAGATAGAGAGATAGATAGAGTGATAGATAGAGAGATAGATAGAGAGATAGATAGAGATAGATATCTCTCTATCTCTCTATCTCTATATAGAGAGATATAGAGAGATATAGATATATCTCTCTATATCTCTCTATATCTCTCTATATAGAGATTAGATAGAGTCACATATTTTTGCCAGCAGCTATCTATTGCTCCCAAAGTAATTTTTTTAAATTTTCTCAATTATTCAGTTTCCTAATACTGAAACGGAAATATTATTTTATGAATATTAAAGAATAGTATAACTTGGAGCCATTTTTAAGAAAATGGCGTTTAAGCACTACTGTATATTAGAAATTTGAACCTTTCACAGAACACCAATTACTTTTTTAAAAAAACTTCATTTGAAGTCATTTTAACCCTCCGAGTGCCACTGTCTAGCTGAAACGTAAAATAGCATGGGGTCCTTTCGAGACCCTATTTCCAATTAATAAAAAGGTCAATGAATCTCAATTAAATCCGCTCAGGTCTTTCAGCAATATTTCCAAGAGACTGGGGTCGACAACAACTCGGAAGGTTAAGCATTTTCAGTCACAAATGCAATAGATTTTACACATTTCTAGAAAGGTGCATATTAAAGGCGTGAGAGATCTTAAAAAATACATTTCTGTAATTAAAAGAAACGAAATTAACTTTAAGTCATAATAAAGAGAGTAGTTATTATTATCCGTTCGAAAAGTTTGAAGAAAAAGTTGGGGCTCTGTTCGAGAAAGTGGCGTTTGAGCCTCTTTGAAAATGCGAAATTTGGAGCTAGTTTTCACAGAATACGGTTGAATTTTGGAGAAACTTTATAAAATATTATTTAAAGCACATGTACTCATCAATAATTCGTATTATAATCAATTCGTATAATATTCGTATAATCTATTTGTATAATAATGTGAACAAATTACCACTAATGCAAATATTAACAACGTAAGAGACAAGTCAAATCAATTAAATTTTTGTAATTTTGTAAACTGATGTTTATGTCATCCCATATAGTACGAGTACATTTAGCACTAAGCCTACCAAAAGTTTAAAGGAAAACTTAGGAGCCGTTTTGGAGAAAACCTATTTTTGTAATTATTTAAAATTGACGTATTGAATGCAATATTACGCTAAAACTACTAAAATGTTCAAAAAAACTGTACACGTCCTTAATAATTATGGACAACAAATTTCATTTGAAGGAAAAATCTGCATCTTTAATTTAGTAGATGTAGGAAGACACCGAAAAAATCTTACTTTCGAAATATGGAGTTCAACAAATACTTTGGAGCCGTTTTTGAGAACATTTTACCCCCAAAGAAAGTCAAAATGTCAACGCTTCGACTCCAGCCAGAAAAACAGCCGTTTCTTCAATTTAGAATAAAACTCCTACGTATGGTTTAGGCGCTAGTAGTATTTGCAGACGGACAGACGATCGTTTAGAAAATAACCACTTTTTCGGTATCAGGGGACTCCAAAACCTGTATTTTTTTATGAAATCTCGAAATAGATTTTCCGCAGCATTACATAACTTTCCCTATACTTCGTAAATATTTTACTCCGTGTATGCGTACGTACACGTAAAAGTAAAATCCCGGGCAACGCGAGGTATTTTGCTAGTATTCTTGTAAAAGGAAATAGATTTAAGGATGGTAAGAGTTTTAACTTACAACTAACTATTGAAACATAGAAGCTCACTTCCACGTAATCAAAGCAAGCTTGTGTGAAATTTGTTTTTCTATATAATGGGCTGCAAATGTTTTAACAGTTAAATTTATTCACGTTTGTTTCATTGTAAATGTAAGAAATTACTATACTTCCTGACTACCGAAATAAAAGCAGATATGCAACACACGCGTTTCTTATGTACTGGACTTTTCGAAGTTCAGCTAAATTGTTAGGTGGACAGAAGTGGTTTCAATACTACGTAACTGTTGGCTATAATGCAAGAAAGTATGTGCCATTGTCGCATCTCACGTTTCTTACATAGTTTAGAAAACATACATAATTTCGTTTTTTATTACAATATATTCCGTTCACGAGTGATGAGTTTTGAAAGTTCTTGCGGAGACGTGTTAATATGCATAGAAATTGCGCTATTAGAGGTATAGCGCAGAAATTCCGCTACACTTATAATAGCGCAGTTTCTGCGTATTTATTGTACAACAGCACAATTTTTACGTGCTTTTGCAGCTCCAAGGATTAATATCAGCCTCAACTGTAGCTAGAGATTGAGTGGACAAATAATTAATTGATTAATTATTTTGGGTTCATCTGCTTACAATAATATTTCTCTATGTGTAGTGCTTGTTATATCGCGAGAAGTGTCAATCTTATTTTCTGGATCGATTGTGAGATAAAATGTAGACAAACATTCTTGCGATGTTTCCTCCTGCAGTTAGCATTCCAACATGTGTGTCCTTAATGGGAGTTAAGGGATTTTGGAAGGGGAAGGAAAGATCGTTTGTTAGGATACTGCTCCGGCATTGGCCTAGTGATGTCCAAAGCAGCTTGCGGCTGGCTTCGACCCAGGTACACAGCGCGTGTGGAAATTCCACCCTCGTCGGGACGACCCCCTCGAACTACCTGCAGAGGTAAAAGTCGTTTACCGGAGGCTCCTGAGCCAATGTCACCTGAGCCTGTTGGACCAATGGCACCTGTGCGGGTGGGGCCCGAAACCAATGTTGGGCCAATGGCACCTGAGCGGATTGGAAGATTGGACCCTGAGCGACGTGAGCCAATGGCTCCTGAACCGCTTGGACCAATGGCGATTGAGCGGGATGACCCTGAGGCACTTGATCCAATGTTGCGCCAATGACACCTGAGCAGGTTGGGCCTGAGGTATTTGAACCAATGACACCTGAGGTGGTTGAGCCAATAGCACCTGACCGTGTTGGGCCCTGAGGCACCTGATCTAATGCTGGCACGTGAGCGGGTCAGGCCCTGAGACATCTGAGGCAATGACAACTGATCGGGTTGGGAAAATGGCTCCTGGTCGTGTTGGGCCGTGAGGCACCTGATCTACTGCTTGGCCAACGGCACGTGAGCAGATTGGGCCTGAAGCCAATGACACCTGAGGTGGTTGAGCCAATGGCACCTGATCATATTGGGCCCTGAGGCACCAGATAAAACGCTGGGCCAATGGCACCTGAGCGGGTTGGGCCGTGAGGCACCTGGTCTACTGCTTGGCCAACGGCACCTGAG